TCACCCTGGGACGGCTCCGGGGTGAAAATCAATCTGCGACCTCCTGACGCATATTGGGAAGAAGGCCCAGCCGCGCGAAACCAGCTCCCACAAAACAGATTTCATTTGGAAAATTGCCATTTTGGGGGTTCGGTTACACCCCCCCCTCCCCGACAGCGCCGTTTTGTGCGGGGAGAGGGTTCCAAATGGATCTTCACCCTGGAACGGTTCCGGGGTGAAAATCCATCTGCGACCTCCCGACGCTGAGCAGGAGGGACCAACCGCGAGAAACAAGCTCCCCAATAAGAGATCTCATTTGGAAAATTGCCAGTTTGGGGGCTCGGGTACACCCCCCCCGTCCCCAAGAGGCACTCAGAAAGCTCCTGAGAGCGCCCGGATGGAAAATCACCCGTTCCTGGTTCCAATATACACCCTGGAACCGTTCCAAGGTGATTCTGGAACCTGAAACGGGTCGATTCCCTGGGGGGAGCGAATGTATGCTCTCTCCTCCTTTGATCAATCTCCTCCAGGATGGCCCATAGAAGGCCCAAGTGAGCACCCAGCATCACCAGGGAGGCGCCCAGCATCCCCAGGAAAGCCTCCCGGCGGCCCCCAAGAGGCCCGCACGAGCGACTAAAGAGGCTCCAAGAGGCCCCTTTCCGAGGCATCAAAGACGCTCCAAGAGGCCCCGATGACCACCAGGACATTTCCTCCTCCTCCTCCTCCTCCTCCTCCTCGTCCTTCTCCTCGTCCAACTCCTCCCCCTCCTCCTGCTCCTCATTGTCCTCGCCTCGTCCTCGTCCTCGTCCTCCCCCTCCCTTCCTCCTCCCCCTCCCTTTCCTCCTCCCCCTCCCCCTCTTCTCCCCCTCCCCCTCCCCCTCCCCCTCCCCCTCCCCTCCCCTCCCCCTCCTCCTCCTCCTCCTCCCTCCTCCCTCCTCCTCCTCCTCCTCCTCCTCCTCCTCCTCCTCCTCCCTCCTCCTCCTCCTCCTCCTCCTCCTCCTCCTCCTCCTCCTCCTCCCCCTCCTGTGTTTCCTCCTCGCTCTTGGGGCAATCTGCCAACCGTTTGGAAAGCATTGGCAACGAGTGGCACATCCAATGCCGCATGCAACCTTTTCCACCCCCTCCCCATCCCCTTCCTCCTCCCCCTCCTCGTCTTCCCCTTCTCCCCCTCCTCCTCCTCTTCCTCCGCCTCCCCTCTCATTTGGGGCAATATGATACGATGCGTTTCTCAACCCGTTCGCAACAACAAATGGCACCATGGTGATGCAAGTGCAGGAGCCCCTCCCCGATGACATAACCATGGCAGGTAAACATGTGTCGAGGAAAACCCCGAGAAGACCTCCATGGAGCCAAAACGGCACCTGATCGACCTGTTCAACATACCTTTTGACGACTCATACAACAAATGCTCCCGCCCTCCCAAAACCCCCGACGGACATCTCAGGCGGCTGTCGCACTGTATGTTTCCACGCTGCCCTCATCAAGGCAACTCACCTGGCAATCGTGTTTGGATGGGCTGGTGGGACTACTTGTTTGTTCGCGAGCGCGCAACCGTCAATAAACGCGGTTAACGCGCACAAGGGTGCACAGGAGCGAGCTACACTGCGGCTCAAGCGGTGGACCTAGCGGAGTCACTGGTCGAGGTGCAGCACCAAAACGGCGAAATTCTTAAAGTCCACGTACACGAGGACGACGAACGGGCGTGCAGGCACTCAGCGGAAGAGTTATGGTTGGTGGGACTACTTTATTGGCCAACAGGCTCGCGAGGCGGGACGAAAGCTGTCCGAACACTAGTCGGGCCGCGACTAGGCAGCAGGAAAAGAGAGGCAAGCGAAGCGAGCGAGCGGGCAGCCACTCAGAAGGAGAGCCAGAGCCGATACTCTCAAACCCGGTGGCGTTGGACATCCCAGTGGCGACCAGCAAGTAAGCGCTGGTGGGAATACGCGACGCGTCAAGAACCTGTCCTGGGACTGCATCCTGGAGTGCAGTCAACGTTTCTTGCCACGACCAACCCCGCGCAAAGAGCGAGGCCGCTCTCGGGCCCCCCGATTCAGGAGTCCCCGAGCGAGGGCGCGAGGAAAGGCCTGAGGACAGGCGGTCCCCGCAAGTCACGACCCTTTCCCCAGGGCCAGTTTGACGGCCCCGAAGCCCGACGAGGGATCCTGGAGGCACGAATTTGCCAAAAACCAATCGCCCGCCGTGGCTTTGTCACGAAGTGAACATACATGGGTTCCCGACCCAGCTGCAAATTTGTCGGGGGTTCGCTTCCACAATCCGGGCGCCGCGAACGAAAAAACTGAGCGACGGGTGATACTGTCTTCATTCACCAGCAGTGCTTGCACTTAGGGATTTTTGCTCGTGCCGCTAAAGAATTGGGTGGGCCTGGCAAAGATCTTCCACGTTGCCGCCCGTGGCCGCCTCGTGGCCGCTCTCGTGCGCTGGGTGGGTCCGGCGAGGCTTCGCCAAGTTGCCGCCCGTGGCCGCCGTCGTGCGCTGGGTGGGTCCGGCGAGGCTTCGCCGAGTTGCCGCCCGTGGCCGCCGTTGTGCGCTGGGTGGGTCCAGCAGCAGCGAGGTGTCGCTACGTTGCCGCCCGTGGCCACCTCTTGGCCGCCTCATGCGCCTGGGTGGGTCCGGCGAGGCTTCGCCAAGTTGCCGCCCGTGGCCGCCGTCGTGCGCTGGGTGGGTCCGGCGAGGCTTCGCCGAGTTGCCGCCCGTGGCCGCCGTTGTGCGCTGGGTGGGTCCAGCAGCAGCGAGGTGTCGCTACGTTGCCGCCCGTGGCCACCTCTTGGCCGCCTCATGCGCCTGGGTGGGTCCGGCGAGGCTTCGCCACGTTGCCGCCCGCGGCCGCCACTAGCTGCGTGCACACCACGAAGACTGCACCACATAGCTTGCCATAGCTTGCGCCACACAGCTTGCACATCCAGTGCAAGAACTTAGTGTTTGGGGTTCACGCTCGCTAACAAGCTGAACATATGGGAGACCTTGTATGCACCCTTGACCCAGGCCATCCGCGCCATGTCCGAAACAATCCGAGACTATCCGAAGTCATTCAGTGGCTACCTGAGGCTATCCGGAACCATCCCGATGCTATCCGAAGCAATTCCGAGACTACCCCAGGCCACCTGGAGGCCCCATAATGCCGCAAGAGTCTGTGCAGAAGAGGTTCCCCACAGTCTGCGGAATCTTTCAGGGTCTCCTGTATAGCAGACGGGGTCCAAGTAGATGGGGTCGAAAACTCACACCGTATCACCGATGCATCAGCGATGCATCGCCGATGTCTCGCCGTTTCATCGCCGACATCGGCGATGCATCGGCGCCGCCGGCGTGGCTCCAAATCGAGCCGCATCGCCGATGCATCGGCGATGCGGCGCGTTCCTCCGATCCCATCTTGGAGGCCTAGATCTTCTCGCTCTGGCGCCTGAGACCGTGTCTCTGGGCCTCAAGGCCATCACAAACGGCCCGCGCGCCAGAACAGGAAACAACATATACAGCATGCTCGCTTTCCGGCTGGGAGGCCACCAAGGAACACAGACGCTCGAGGGAAGCCCACAGACCCGAGGACTCGTGCGCCTGGCAATCCAAAATGGTCCCTGCTTTTGCCCTTCTGCCCTCAGGGAACCCGCTTCGGCCACACGTACACGTCGGTCGGAAGAAGTAGGTAAAAAACATGAAGTAGGAAGGTGGATAGAGTAGATTGGGTCCAGGCCCTCCCAGGGAATGACAAAACGCTGCAAAAGCATATCGATTCTTGAAGTAGGAAGGCGCTTGAAGTAGATTGGAACCTGGGAGTCCAGCAATACCTACTTTCAACGACCGACGCGGAAGAGTGACCCCAGGCCCTAAGCAAGAGTGGCCGTTCCTGCGCGGCTTGCTGGCCGCTGCGTGCGCTGCAACCCTGGCGGCCTGCACGCTCGGGCCTGGTGCCCCGCAGGCCGCGCACCGTGCGGCCCTCCAGCGAAGGGCAACTCTTACGTGCAGCCCACTGCTTCTCGGACACGTGTACGAGTGACCCCTGGCAAGGAGTGCCCTTCGGCGCGCGGCTGTTGGAGGCCGCGGATGGTCCAAATCCAAGTCCGCAGGCCAGTGCTGGAAGGGGGCCCCGGGGGCCGCGGGTGGTCCAAATCCAAGTGCGCAAGCCAGTGCTGGGGGGGGACCCTGCAGGCAGTCCAAATCCAAGTGCGCAGTCCAGTGATGGGGTGGGCCTGTGATAGAGGCCTAGATGGGGTCCGAGTAGATGGGGTCAAAGGATCGCGCCGCATCGCAGATGCATCGGCGATGCGGCGCGAACCTCCGACCAAATCTGGGAGGCCTAGATTTAGGGGGCCGCGGGTAGTCCAAATCCAAGTGCGCAGGCCAGTACTAGGTGGGGCCTGTGATAGAGGTCTCGTAGATGGGGTCCGAGTAGATGTGTTCGAAGGATCGCGCCGCATCGCCAATGCATCGCCGATGTATCGGCGATTCGTCGGCGCTGCACTTGCGACGTCGGCGCGGAGAGAATCGGGCTCCGCATCGAGCCGCATCGCCGATGCCCTGGCGATACGGCGCGAAACTCCGACCCCATTTACTCGGACCCCATCTGGGAGGTCTAGATTTAGGGAGCCGCGGGTCGTCCGAATCCAAGTGCGCAGGCCAGTGCTGGGGGGGGCTATGACAGAGGCCTCACAGAAAGGGCCGAGTAGATGGTGTCGAAGGATCGCGCCGCATCGCCAATGCATCACCAATGTATCGCGGATCGATGCACCAGCGATGCACTGGCGAAGTCAGCGATGCATCGGCGACGGCGTGGAGAACATCGGGCCCCGCATCGAGCCGCATCGCCGATGCATCGGCGATATGGCGCGAACCTCCGACCCCATCTGCTCGGACCCGATCTGGGAGGCATCATAGAATTAGGGGGGGCGCGGGGAGTCAAGGGAGGGAGGGCCCTGTGAGCCCGCACTTTCGGTCAACCCGGCGAAAGGTCACTCTTGCGTGCAACTGACCGTTTCGCGAAGGGCGTCGGAGGCGTCGGAAGCCCGGGCCTGCGGCAGCTGCTGCGGGGCGTCCCGCGGCGCGTGGGCGTCCTTCGGCGCCGGGCGCGTCGAGACGTCGAGCCCCGGGGCTGACGCGACCTGGGCGGGGTGGGTGGAATCGAGACATCGGATCGGATCGGAGAGGTGCTCGGATCGCCAGCGAATCGTCCCGAATCGGATCGAGATCGGATCCCCGCGCCTGGCTCTGGCTGGTCCCAGTCGATGCCGGAAAATCGAGCCACATCGAATGGAACGAAGGATTGCAAAAAACACCGAAGGATTGCAAAAAAACCCTTCGACGAAGGATTGCAAAAAAACCGAAGGTTGTTTTGCAATCCTTCGACTCGCGGGCCGGGCCCGCGCCGCGAATCGAAGCGCATCGAATCGGATCACAGGCGGCCGTGCCTCGGCGGGGCACGTCTTCACGAGGTGCAGCAGCTTCTGCTGGCACTCGTCCTCGAGCATCGCTTCACCGATTGCTATCTCCACTGGCGTGGCCTGGGCCCCACTGGCCGATTTACCCCTAGGTGGGGATGTAGGCTGTTCCCTTCGGGTCTCGAGGGAGACACCCCCAACTGGGGCGGCGGGATGGGTGGGCTGCGATACCATGGCCCCGTGGGGATGGGGACAGGTCAAGCGATGCTGAGTCCTCCAGGGAGTGGAGCCTCTGCAGCGCCCACTGCGTGAGGGCGGCCGTCTGCACCACGCGCTCCTCGGGCAGCGCGTCCAGGTCCTCCTCCAGGTGAGCCAGCACGAGCAGGGCCTTCATGAGGTGGGCGCTCAGGCCGGCGGGCTTCGTCGTCTTGGCCTCCAGGACCACCTGTCTTGGTGCGGCTTCGGGCTGCGCACGGACAGCCCCCCCGGGCGGCCCCTGCTGGCCTCAACAAGGCATCCCGAGTAGTCTGGGGCGGAAGTAGACACCCTGGCGCCGCCTCTGGCGGCGCCTCTGCGGCGCTCCGCGCCCCAGGGTTTGGCTGTTCAGACCGCCCCAGGCTACTCAGGCCACTCAAGGGGCCTGTCGAGGCCAGCGGCGACTACCTGGGGGAGCTGTTTGTGCACAACCTGAAGCCTTACCAACCACCTGTGTCCACTCCGAGGGATCGGTGTTAGACGCCTGGTCCCAGGCTTGATGAGCTTGAGGTGTGTCTTGCATGATCGCAGGACGGCTGAGTTCCTGATTCACGTGCCACTTGTTGCGCATTGCAACGAAGTGGGCATCTTCTTCCACCCTCAGATTGCGACAAACGGAAATTCTAGGGCCGATACAGCGGTGATGCCGACAACAGCGATGATTGTTGAAGGGCATCAGCAACGGTATATATATATATATATGTACGGATGTGTGCATATACAGATATATGTATATATAATGAGAGAGAGAGAGAGAGAGAGAGAGACAAAACAAATAAATAAACAAACACATACAGGACTGCATTGGCGCTTCGCGCCATTCGCCTTGGTCCTTCACGTCTACCATGCAGGCAGAGCGAAAGAACAGTAGATCAGCCAAAACAGCGATCACTCTTGGTTGCAGTGTTCGCCCCCACCGCTAGTATAGTGTTGTTCCTTCTCCTTCCCTCACGTGTCCTTTTCCTCTTCCTCTTCCTCGTGCTCGCCTCATTGCCCCGTGAACTCTCCCCCGTACTGCTCAAATTTGTTTGCGGGGGCTCCTCCGAGGGGAGCTTCTAGAGGACCTCGTGAAAGCTTTTCAAGGGTTCCTTGGGCGCCTATGTAGACGTCTATGGCGCCTTTTGGCGGCCTCTGGGGGTGTCCTCTCGGGCCACCATGCCGCGAATCGTGGTCTCGGGTCACAATGTGAATGCTTCTGCAACGCGTCTTGGGGCAATTTCTGCCCGTCATTGGGCCCTCTGTGGGCAGCTTCTGAGCCCTCTTGGTCGACTTGGGGCTCTCTTGGACTGTCAAGAACTCCATTTTGATCATCTTGGAATGGTTATCGGTGCCTCTCGGGCGTGCTCGGACGGCCGGAAGACCGAATAACCCAGTAGCCCAAACTCGTACAAAAACCACTGGAAAATCCACCTTTTCTGAGTTTCGAAAGCCGCTTGGGGGTGAGATTTGGGCCGTCTTCGGGCGTCTGGCGGGGGTTAGGGGCCGCTGGAGGCCATGTTGGTCCGACTTGGGAGCCTCTTGGAGCCACCGCTGGGCCCAGCAAGGACGTCGACGTCGAGGGGGCCCCGAAATCCCGGGAGACCTTTCGCTGGGGCGTCCCAAGGGCCCCCGAGACCCAAGATCCCGGGGGCCCCGAGGCCAGGAATCCGGGGGTCTGGCTGGTGACCGCGGTGGGGGTAGTGCGACGCAGGGCTCGGCGTCCTCGTCCCCCCCCCTCCTCTTGCGAGGGATGGGGACTGGGCGAGGGAGGAGCGGGAGCGGGAGGGAGGGGGGCACAGGCTGAAGAACCGCACACGTGCAGCACGGCGCTGGAATTCGAGACCAAAGATCCTGGGGTCTGGCCGGTGGTCCCACCCCTCCGAGTGAAAAAGTAATAGAAGTTGGAATAGCATCGTTCCACAAACAGACAAGGGGGGGAGGAACCAGGTCATGTTACCAACGTTCGCTCGTGTTGCCCCTGACTGCCCTGGATCTTAGCCCACGCGTGATCTCGTGGTCCGCTGCATACTGTTAAGGAAGCTGCAGCATCAATGCACAGAAACAGAATAAAGAGAAGATCTGAAGAATTACGGGGTCAAGATCACCCCTACGGCAGTTCCCCATCGACTTCGGCCATCGCGACAAGACCTTCACATAATAGTGTGCGCTACGCCACCACCTCGTCCTCCTGCTCTTCCTCCTCCCCTGGACGCGCCCTCGTCGATGTCGGGACTGACGCTGCGGCTTCTGTCCCTCGCTGGCTCTCGCTCTATAGCTCTCGCTCTCTCTCTCTCTCTCTCTTTCTTTCTTTATTGTGTTTCTATGTATCGCTCTTTCTCTCTGTTGTTGTATTGTTTTGTTGTGTATCTCTCTATCTCTCTTTCTCTCTCCCTCTCCCCGTATATTGATCACTCGTTATATGTACGCACATTTGAATAGTCCCTCTGTTCATTTCTCTCTACCTCTCTCTCTCTCTCTCTCCTTCCTCCCCACATCCTATGTGGGGTTCTTGTTTTCTCTGGACACCCCGCGAAATCCTCCCTCATCACATCTCTCCCTCGTCATCACTCACCCTCACTCACTCCTTCACTCACCCATCATCATTCTCATCAGCACCATCATCATCATCATCATCAGCAGCAGCAGCAGCAGCAACATCATCATCATTGTCATCATCTTCCTCAATCACACGCTCACTTACACTCACACTCACTCAATCACACACTCAAACGCTCATTTCCCATCGTTACCATAATCATCATCACTCACTCATTCATTCACTCACTCACCATCATCATTGACTCACTCATCATTTCGTCATCACTCCCCCCTGGCATGCCAATGGAAAATGTCTCAGGCAGGAGCCTCATCTGTGAGTGAATTGTGCGGAAGTCTCAGGCGGGAGCTCCCTCCCTAAGGGGCCCGCACTTCATGTTTGAATCCGAGGCGAGCGGGAGCCCCCTCCCTAATGGGGCCCGCACTTCATGTTTGAATCCGAAGCGGGTCATTGGAATCTTCTAGCAGTCGTCACTTTTGGGTTCCTCAGGCTTGAATATGGAGGAAATATCAGGCGGGAGCCTCGTCTGTGAGTGAATTGTGAGGAAGTTTCAGGCGGGTGTTCCCTCCCTAAGGGGCTCGCACTTCATGTTTGAATCCGGGGCGGTCATCTGCATCCTGTGGCTGTCGTCACGCTAGAGCTCCGCAGGCCTGAATATGGAGGAAATATCAGGCGGGAGCCCACTCCGCAAGGGACCTGCAATTCATGTTCGAATCCGAGGCGCCTCTCACGTTCTTTATTACCTAACAGCGAAGACTGATAGATGGTGTCAAAAGAAACATCTTGACGCCCCAAGGGGGTCTGGGTGGGAACCGGACAAGAAACCAGACAGATCCGCCTGCGACAGGAATCCTCAGGAATCATGAAGAATTCTTAGGAAGCCATTCCCAGAACACAATTCCCAGGCCACATTTTGAATGCCCGGAGCCAACTGTAGGCCACTTCGTGTTCTTCGTGTTCCCAGAACACCATTCCCATGCCACATTGTGGATGCCCGGAGCCAACTGTAGGCCACTTCGTGTTCTTCGCGTTCCCAGAACACCATCCCCATGCCACATTTTGAATGCCTGGAGCCAACCGTAGGCCACTTCGTGTTCTTCGTGTTCCCAGAACACCATCCCCATGCCACATTTTGAATGCCTGGAGCCAACCGTAGGCCACTTCGTGTTCTTCGTGTTCCTAGAACACCATTCCCATGCCACATTTTGAATGCGGGCCAACTGTAGGCCACTTCGTGTTCTTCGTGTTCCCGGAACACCACTCCCATGCCACATTGTGAATGCCCAGAGCCAACTGTAGGCCACTTCGTGTTCTTCGTGTTCCCAGAACACCATTCCCAGGCCATATTTTGAATGCGGAGCCAACTGTAGGCCACTTCGTGTTCTTCGTGTTCCCAGAACACCATCCCCATGCCACATTTTGAATGCCTGGAGCCAACCGTAGGCCACTTCGTGTTCTTCGTGTTCCCAGAACGCAATCCTGTACCATATTTTGATTGTCCGGAGCCAACTGTGGGCCACTTCGTGATCTTCGTGTTCCCAGAACACTAGTCTTGTGCCATATTTTGAATGCCCGAGCTGAGACAGGCTGAGGCCGAGGCAGGCTGAGGCCGAGGCAGGCTGAGGCTGAGGCTGAGGCACGCCGAGGCAGGCTGAGGCTGAGGCTGAGGCTGAGGCTAAGTCAGAGGCAGGCTGAGGCTGATGCTCACGCAGGCTAAGGCCGAGGCAGGCTGAGGCTGAGGCTGAGGCTGAGGCAGGCTGAGGCTGAGGCTGAGGCAGGCTGAGGCTGAGGCTGAGGCTGATGCAGGCTGAGGCTGAGAGGCTGACGCTGAGGCTGAGGTAGGCTGAGGCTGAGGCTGAAGCCGAGGCAGGCTGAGGCTGAGGCCGAGGCAAGCCGAGGCAGGCTGAGGCTGAGGCTAAAGCTGAGGCAGGCTGAGGCTGAGGCTGAGGCTGAGGCTGTGGCTGAGGCAAGCTGCGGCTGAGGCAGGCTGAGGCTGAGGCTGATGCAGGCTGAGTCTGAGGCAGGCTGAGGCTGAGGCTGAGGCCGAGGCAGGCTGAGGCTGAGGCCGAGGCAGGCTGAGGCTGAGGCCGAGGCAAGCCGAGGCAGGCTGAGGCTGAGGCTGAAGCTGAGGCTGAGGCTGAGGCAGGCTGAGGCTGAGACAGGCTGAGACTGAGACTGAGGCAGGCTGAGGCTGATGCAGGCTGAGGCTGAGGCCGAGGCAGGCTCAGGCCGAGACAGGCTGAGGTTGAGACTGAGGCTGAGGCTGAGGATGAGGCCGAGGCAGGCCGAAGCTGCCTCGGCCTCATCCTAAGGTGTCCTAAGGTTTCCTAAGGACTCCTAAGGATTATCATGGATTCCTAATGATGCCTAAGGATGCCTTAGGAATCCCTAGGAATTATTAGGATTACATTGGATCCTAAGGCCGTTGCCACTGCGACTGTCATTGCGAATGCGACTGCGACTGCGAGAACAACATAATTCTACAACTGGATTATCACCTGAATCTTAAGGGGAATGCTTCCAGAAATGCTTATACACATCGCTGTTAGGTTGCTTTGCCGGGATACGTTCGTTTGTTGTGTCTCTCTCTCTCCCGTATATGTAATATGCCTCTCTGAATGTAGATATATATATATATATATATACATACGCACACACATATATATATATATATATATGTGTATACATGCATAAAGAGGTATCCTTGTTGTTTCTCTCTCTCTCTCTGGCCCCCTCCAGGAGCGCAAGTGCGTCGAGGGTCGGTCGTCGGGAATGGCTGCGGCGTTGAGCGACCATGTTATGCAAAGTCGATTCTTCTCAACGAACCCCTGGATGACCACCCTTTTGACCGACCCACAGGCGACAGTCGTCTTCATCGATCAGCATTGCCAATCATCGTCCACCATATTGGACAACTCAACTGCTCAAAGACAGCCAGTTCGATCACTGACAATGATGGCAATCGCCTCGAACCGAACAACCCAGAT